CTAGTTTGGAGACCAGGATGTCGTGGCATTAATTACAGGCATTTTTCAGTTTGGTTCTAACGTAAAAATATTATGGGCTACAAAGTAGCCTTTCAACACTAGAATTAAAAATTAGATGTAGCTACTGTGCGTGAGGTTATAGTAGGTTCTGTTCTTCCTCGGCTTTGCTTACCTGTGCTCTTCTGAGCATGCAAAGCAGTAAGGTATTTGAAAATCTACCCTGTAAATGACTTCTTGGATTTAGGAACATGCACTGTCAGGATGGTCCTCCTTCCTTCATCGGAAAAGGAGACTTGGATGAAATAAAACTTCTTCAACACAGCAGTCTTGTTTTCAGAAAATCACACTTTGCTTTCTCCATCAGGATCAAATACCAGAAGATTGTGTGTTTGTGCACTTATACATCTGTATACAAGTGTATTATCAAACACGTAACATAAATATTAGAAGTATTTCTGAATATAGAAGCATGTGTGTGTGCATATACACAGTGTATTAAGGTCTATGTTTAATAATTCCTTTGGATGGTGAGATTATCGATGATTCAAAGATTAAATATTTTTATATTTTTTTCTGCATCTCAAAAATGTTAATAAAATACAAATATTTTAGGAGGTTCTTTGACCACATATATTTCAAATCAATTAGCATTAACCTTTCATATAGTGATGGCTTGTGCTAATTTCTTTATGAGCTATGTGCATCTGCATGCAAACAGCACAGGTAAAAAGCAATTCCAGAACCTCCAAAAGAATGTGGTATTAGCTTCTATAAACACAAAGACTGCTACAATTATTCCCAGTATCATGGACGATTCTGCCTCTGATTTCAGTGATTTTAAGAATATTAGTTCTTGTGAGATTTGGGTGGCCTTTCCTGAAGGCCACTTGAACTTTTTTTTTTAGCAAGATAATAAATTTCTTAAAACCTACAAAACTATTTTATTTGAGGCAACTCCTGACATAGAGCTTTTCCTCAGCTCAACAGAAATTTTACATGCCACTGACTTAACTGGGTCAGTTTTTTTCTCCAGTTTTGCAGTAGGATCCATCCTGTCGGCTTCAGTGAGAGTCTGTTGCAGGATTTGAACCTTATTCTACATAAATGTATTCTTAATATGGCCCAAATTCAGTAAGCCATGTGTGAAAATAAGTCCAACATGAATCACCTGATTATGCAGCATGACTATATAGCTTTTCAGTGCATATCTATGTGAAAGAGATCCCCAGCTGTAGGGAATAAGGTTTGGGGATGTTGGCGATGACTTCAAAAATGTGTTTTGAAGGATTACCATGGTTTCACTCATATTGTTGTCAGTAAAACAATGTAAAGTTACACTGCAGACAGGTTTTAAAGTCTTTGCTCTTAATATGTCTTAATATTCATTTTAGCACTTATGGTTGGACTCGATCTTAAAAGTCTTTTCAACCTAAAAGATTCTATGATTCAATGTCAGCCTCATACAAATTTTCCATTTTATCTTCTTTTCCTCTTTAGCTATAATGGCGTTTCTGTTTGATCTAAAGGCCTTAGTGGACATGATGTCTATTGGGACCCTTCTTGCTTATTCACTTGTGGCAACCTGTGTCCTCATTCTTAGGTGAGTCAAAAACATCCCTTGTAGTCTACTGTGTTTTATTTTATGTTGGTCAGTGTAGAAACAGAAGTGAGATCTACAGGGTATGTTTCTTGCTACACAGCTAAATGTTTAAAAATCATCTCTGCACATATAAATGATTACTAGGAAGCAGTGATCCACCAAAGAAAACAGTAATGTATTGTCAGGTCGGTATAGCAGTTAGTCAAGTCAAAGCTTCATGTGAAATCTTGATACCTTTTGTTTTCCAGAAGTTAGATTGGTCCAAGCATTAGTCCCAAAGTTACTAGATGTAAGCATGTGTACAGAATTCAATGCATGATATTTTGATATGAATAAGATCTATGCTGTACATCAGGCCTATTAGGTTGTGGGGGCTGTGTGTGAAAGGTGTAGATGTTCTAGGTGGCTCACAGGATGAGCAAGTTCAGAAATGTAAGACCAGACAAGTGGTTGAAGATGTGGTAGTCCTAGGAGAGAGTGCAAATATTCTCTCTCAATGAGTGAGATTACAAATACTTGCCTGTAAAACTCTGGCATCTGTTCTCTTTCTAAAGCTATGGAATAATAGTGATATATTGATAGCTATAGCTCATTTTATTGTCTATTGCTCTTTTTAACTTAAAAAGTCAGTCCTTATTACTTAAGGCTAAACAATTAATTTTGAAAAGCATAACAGCTTAAATTCTGCTCAAAATCATTGTTGCAATAATTTAAACTTCAAAAGAGAAGACTATGTATGCCATAGTGGCTTATTCATCATACTTATTTTTAAAAAGACACGTTGATTCTAACAAAGCAGATGTAACATTTCAGTTTAGGCCAGTTAGTAGGCGTCTTACGGTACAGGAACCAAATCAGAAAGAAGCTACTCTACCTTTTCCCAGCTATCGACCACCAGACCCTGTCCTCTTTTTTTGTACAACACTGAACATTTATCTGACACAGTGGTGCATTCACATAGCTGAAAAAACAGCACAAAAAAAATCCCCTCAAAAAATCAGAAAAAAGGTGTGTTTCCATTGTTCATTTATACATGATAGCATCTAATAATATAGACTGTTGTAATGCAATTATAAATTGGGAAATTCTAAATCTCTACTGAAGAAAATTCCTAGAATCAAATTGCCTCAAATCCTAGAGTAACCTTAATTTTTTTTATTATCTTCTTCATTTTGTGCATAGGTACCAACCCTGTTTAACCTATGAGCAACCAAAATATTCTCCAGAAAAAGCAGCTTTGGCTGCATCTGAAAGGGAATCTGTAGTAAGTGAATCACAGATAGATATGATACAAAAGAAACACTTCAGTCTTCAGACCCTGATTAATCCATCCAGTTTTCCTACTGAACAGACTTCAACTACTGTTAACTTTTTAGTGGGTCTTTTAGGTAAGTATCCAGTTGTCCAAACTCATATAATACAATAACATAAACAACACAATTTTATTACAGACAAAATTAAAAATCCACTGATAACCAGTGATATGCTTTCAGTCATAATGAATGTGTCATTCTGCAGAATGATTTTATAGTTCTTGATGGATTTAATCTGCTGTCTAGTGTATTTTCCTTTAATTAAACATTTTCAGGATAACACTTCATAGTGAAGACTTGCCATCATTCTTCTTAAAAATCACTTCCTCTTCAATGCAGAAATTAAGTGCTCTATTTCCATAATTTTGTTTTTCACATAGCTTGCTTGGTTTGTGGCTTGAGTGTCCTCACTACTTATGGGACTCATTTCATTGCTAACTTGGAGCCCTGGAGTATTTGCCTTCTTGCTGTGTTGGTGATGTCCTTCATCGTTACCATTCTCCTCATCCAAAGGCAGCCTCAGAACCAGCAGAAAGTGGCCTTTATGGTGAATAATATATTATCTATGTTCTTTTCTAATGAGAGGTTTGGATAGATTCTAACAAGTGGGAGAAGGGCAGAGAGAGAGAGAGACGGTCCTTTTTCAAGCAGTCTTTAATTTCTATACTGCCACTACTGCAAGTTTTTTAGTGAAGGTAAAGGCAGTGGATGGTTGTGGCTGAATCATCAGCATGTGCAGTGCAGTCCAGATCTCCTCAGGACTAGAGAAAGGGCTTTGTTGCCCCACAGATTGAATGTGTGACATGTACAGGAGGATGGCAGCAAAAAATGGCTGTTCCACTGATGCTGGTGTGAACAGCTGCTTTTACAGCTAGTGGATCTGGCAGCACTGATGATCTAGGTGTTCCATGAGGCACACCCTCAGAGTGCACATGACTGAGACCCAAGTAGCTCTAGACCTCAGTTTAAGCACTCAGAAATTGGAAAGTGGTTCAGAAACTGATCAGTGTACAATCACTTCTCTGTGTTGCATGCAATGCTTTGGACCACAGTACAGTTCAGACCTCCCAGAGCATAATCCCTTCCTTCTAAGCTTCCACTTACGTTCTAATATCAGTTATTTAATGGAGCATTTGATGGAAATCATGAAGTATAGTGATGAAGGTCAAGGAATCCAGTGGGGCTTTTCAAAAGGGCTCTATATGCAAATACATAACATTTTTGAGCTGTAGATACAGGAATTAGTTAGCATATGTTCAGCACAAACTGTAAAGTTTTTCTACACAGATTTAGAGAATGCATATTAAATTTAATGTAGTTTAAAAGTTTAAAATATGTAGAAACTGGTGGTTCAGCCTAGTGAAAAAGAAAAGGTCACTATATTCCAATAATTTTTTTTTCAGTTCTTTTTCAGTGATCAGAGGCTTTTGGTGTATAACTGAAGTGTGACACGCAAGAAATTATATTTAATACAAACATATTAAGTATTTCCTTTTAGGTTCCACTATTGCCATTTTTGCCATCATTCAGTATCCTGGTAAATATTTACTTGATGGTACAATTAAGTGGAGACACTTGGATCAGATTTAGCATCTGGATGGCACTTGGTAGGTACCTGTGTTCATTTCAGTCACCTCTTACATTAGGACTCATGAATCCTATCTTTGAACATCTGATTCTCTTCCTTTAAATATTTGGAACAAAAGTTTGAAACAATTTTTTTTGAAACAAATTACTTTTTAATAAAAGCCAGCTGATATTTCTGATCAAAACAAGAGCATGCTTCAGAAGTAGTATTTATATGCAGTCAAAACTGTAAATACAATTTTGAGGTAATAGAAATGATCAAAGTTATAGGACTAATTCCAGTAATCTGCAATTCTTTTTCCGTATAACTAAAATTGTGCAGAAACCTATTTGCAACAGGTTTATTCTCAGTATATCAGTCATTCTCCTTTAAGATATGGAAAACTGTATGAATTCTTTCCAGGCATAGATTAGAGATGGTAGTTTCCATGACCTATCAGAACATTTAATTACAAAAAGATGATGCACCAGAATATCCATAGCAACAGAAAGACCTGAAGCATGAGCTCTGATTCAGATACCTGAAGAATAAAATTGTTTTAGAAAATAGGTTCAGCCAGAGAGTAAGGACTAAATACTCTTTAATGTGCTACTTGCCTGAAACCCCTGTGAACTTTTTTTTTCCCCCTTTTGGAAGGCTTCCTCATTTACTTTGCTTATGGGATCAGACACAGTCTTGAAGGTCACCGCAGTGAAGGAGATGATGATTCGTGTTCAGAAAATAGTGGATTGCAAGAAAAGAACCCTTTGGAAGAAGTGGATGAACCTGAAAATGCAAATGAAAGCGATCGATTTCTTGCACATGAGAGGACAAGTGAATGTTAGTCTATGCAAACACACAAGCCTTTTAAACCTTTAATTGACATTTTACCTGCGGACTGAAATTTCAAAAGCTTTCTGCTAACATTGTGCCTCTTGAAAGTGTTTACTACAAGGCCTGGCTGATATTTTGGACAAGCTGCTAATCCATCTTCATCATTTCAGAACTGACAGCATGGAGATGAATATTTTATTTAAAAAAAAACAAACAAGAGAAGTACCCTTTGGCAAGCCAAAATTTGGATGCGTTGTTTGAACTGTCATCCAAAATCGCTCTTAATCACAAACCTTTAAGAATTTTAGAACTGCCTGCAAGAAGCTCTGAATATTTGACACTGCATTGTGAACACAAGTTCCTTTCATACCTTCTCCTTATCTCTATTACGCGTTTTGGTCACAATCTAATAACTCTCTTCTTTCTACAGAAGTAACTCACAGACATTTTTGCAGACAGGCCTGAGAAAATTTGCAAAATGACTGGTAATTGTGTAAATCTGATACTTTGCAAAAAGTAGAAGATCATATAGTTAAGTAAAAAGTAATGGCTTACCTTTACTAATCAATAGTTGTGGAGAACTCAGATAGTGAAGATACTTCAAAGGTTCTTGCTCTAAATAGTATTTAAGATCTCTGCTTTTGTGAATTCCTTTCCTTTTCAGAGATGCTGCGTGTATAAAATAGTACTCCCAAGAAGAGCTATGTTTTCTGCAAAAGCATCTGGGAAATAATCTGTTGGTCACAGTATTAACAGTGATTTTCATATCTAATTTAGCAAATATTGCCCTTTTGATTTCAGATTTTATCGCTGACTACATAATTTGTTACTGACATACAGCAGTCATCGAGTTTTCCTCCTTACTATTCATTTATTCCTCCCATTTCTTCTTCTCCTTTATCACGTGCCAGAGCTGATATTTCTGAGATTAGTTGTTACATTTGGGTTTGTCTCAGAAATATTAATGCACAAAATCCCAGTCTTATTTTCAGCTGCAAGGGAAGGTTAAAAAAAAGGAAGCCAGGATTTTTTTTGAAAAAATCCTCTTTGAAACAATATTTTGGTGCTTCACTAAGCATTACACATACGTTAGCGTATACGTGGTTTTTCATGAGCCAAGCCTATATCCCCAATTCCCGTTCATGTGGGTACGATGTCCAAATGCTAATTTATGCAAACAACCAAATAATTGCAGCATGCTAGGTGAACAATTATTTTAAAACTGGTGAAAATGGAAACTGTTCTTTCAACATAAAAGTCATATTACCTATCAAAGGCATCCAGATATTTTTACACTTTTTTTCTCAGCAAATGGTAGGCTCAAGTCCCATGCAGGATTCCACAATACGAATTTACTTTGCCAGATTGTATTTATAAAAATAACTTTCCTAAAGTAAGAATTGGCTTGGACTTTGTCATGGAAACTTGCAATCAGTTGCTGGTACGAATCATTGGTATTAATCTCTGTTGTTAGGCATACAAACTTTAGATCTTGTGAGAGCTGTGTTGGTTGACAGTGAAAAGCACCTTACTTTTTAGAATAGCTGCCATTTGACACCAGAAAAAAAAAAAAAAAGAAAAGAAAAGAAAAAGAGAAAAATAAACTAGTTAGGCTGCTTCTGTCTTTCCTGCTCTTTACCAGAGAAATAGATTCAGGCTTTTTCATCTTAAAAGGACTGCTGTTGTTTTAAGAGAGTAGCGTGCCTAAATGTTGAAGGGCAGAAGGAGAAGTGCTTCTTGATGGAGAACCCTGCAGTGGGCTAGTATCCCACCATGAAGCAGGTGTGAGGTTTCCAGGCTGATGCCCTCCTTCTTAGCTTGACCTAGGAGGTCCTGCAGCGCTGGCAGCAGCGAGTGGCTAGGGTGTGCTGTGTCACCAGTGGCCTCTGCTGGCTGCTTAGAATTAGCAGTAGCAATCCGAAGATGGAAGAGGCGTGCAGTAGGTGAAACACCTACCTCTTCTTCACTGAGGTGCCAGCGTATACATCCTCTAACTGCAACTGCTCTTGTCCTAAGGGCCGTTGTTCTAGCAGCTGGTGGTTCTTAAAAATGGATGGGGGACAGATTATGAGGAGAAGCTATAGGGTCGATGGGAATAGAATATGGCTTTTTTTAATATATCCTAATCCATCCAGAATTGATCATGTTATAGTCACTTCTTTTCACAATTCGTCATCATTTCAGAAATGCTATTAAAGAAAGACTCAAATCTCATATTAGGCTAAAACAAATAGATGGTATGCTAAGTCAATAATTGATTGGTAGAAATGGATGGGAATTCTCAGAAAGTTCTTACAGATATCGATAATTTTCAAAAATTTAAAAAAATTAAAAAAAAAATTCAAAAAATTCAAAAATTTTTCAAAAATAATTTCTGTCCTGCACTGGAATTTTCTTTCAAAGGGACACTGTCAATATAACAAACTTCCAACTAAAGCAAGTGCTAGCTAAGGATTCTGGAGATAAGAAAATAAATGAAAGAAAATGTATTTTCTAGCTTATTTACCTGGTGGATGTAGCAGCACTTTGTGTATTGACAGTTTCCCCTTTCATTTGCATTAATATTTCTCCCCCCTTGTTAGAGAAAATAACAATATAAAAGAATGTGCCTGTACAAATGTTGCTAGGGGAGACAGGAGCAGCTGCCACTCAGGAATTACCCACTTAACTAATGAGATATAAGATGAAATTAAAGTCAAGTCATCAGGTATTCTCGTGTGCTTCAACTGCATAAAGCTTTTTTATATGTGTGTATAGCTGGGGTCATTATTAGTCAGTGGCAGACTAAGAACATGACAAGCCGGAAGTAAGACATGTGTGTTCACTTTGGTATGCATTTGTATACGTGGTCCTGAAATTCCAAATGCTTTAGTGGGACTTGCAGGAGGATAGGACATGCCATGAGAGTTCTTACACAGAAGCCACGTATGAAACAAATCATCATTTTGTTCTCGCCTTTGATGTATGTCTGCATTTGCTGAGACAGCAGCTGAAAGCATAAGTCTGGTGGAATTAAATCGTCGTCATTTTTTAACATAGGTGTGGATATTGTAAATTTTTCTGTGCAAATAATAATGGTATGTGTTAAATATCTCTTATTTGAGGTAGCTCATTGTTTTTTTTTTTTCTTTCTTTGTAGAAAAGATCCTCTAAAAACTTTTATTTGTGTTGTTACATTCTGGATATGACTTTAGATAGAGGAATTATTCCTATCTAGCTGGATTTAAGAAAGTAAACTAAAATATATTTAAGGGAGAACAAATAAATCTTTTTGTTCTGAGGAATCAGAGTTATAAAACGTTTCTGTATCATTCATGTTAACTGAAGCAATCTTCTTGTGGTATTCCAGTTGTAATTCTGCAACAGGGGATTTTATAAGGTATTTTTCAGTTTCATTCTCTGTTATCCCGGTTAACACTACTCTGTTAATAATAGTAGGCTTTTTTCCTGCACAACAAATGCTGGTTAGGTTCTTGAAATCTGTCACGTTGTTTACATCATCATGTGTTAAAGCTGTTTATATTACCTGCTGTTAAAGAGTTATCAGTAATAAACGTCAATAGTAGTGATGGAGGGTCACTTATGTACTTACTTAAGAATTTAACTATGCCATCCAGAAACTTCAAAAGATACAATGAATTCAAAAGCAAAACTTGGTAAAGCTTAAATATATATTCTTTACTAGATGGTGAACGCACAAGGCTAGCCATCTTTCCCCTAAAATTTATGCAAAGATATCTTTTTATTTTTTTTAAGAAATAAAAGGCGTAACTGTTTTCATGGAGGCTTTCATGGAGTGCCGGTATCAGACGTGCCATAAGCACCCTGAGATACTGAGAGCTGAACAACCTGGGTGAAGTCCATGGCGGTGTGGGAACTCTGGGTGGAACTGGGCAATCGTTTTAATCGGGTGGTGATGCCTTTGACATTGAGGTGCGTTTTGTACAGTAGGGATTTAATACACACGAGGGTGGCAAGTGTTATTTGATGACATAAAAAAGAAAATGAATGCACCTTTTAATGCTCTTGGGCCCTAATTCTTCCTGCACTTGTCAGGAAGTTTGTATAAATTGCAGTACGCTCACTGAAAGCACTGAGATTACTCAGTGTTGGGCAGATATATATTTTGCAGAAAGAGCAGGTGATATTTCATATAGTGAGGAATCTTTCTATTTAATTTCCTGTACATTATGGTATTTCTTTCTGGTATATGTTTTGAGGACCTCCATGTTTTTAATAGTTGGAGCTTTCCAAAGCTAAATATAATACCTTTACCATCTCCTGATCTGTTTTTCCATTCGATTTTAGAAACCAAACGCCTTCACAATTAGCTAAGTTGAAGGATTTCTGTGCATAGACATGCATCACAGAGAATTATGTATATATCTCATTATTTTTATTGTAAGTTGGACAAATTCTGTTGTCTCCATATGTTTTCATTAAACCTTGTACCATGTAAACTCCAGCTTCACTAGTACAAGTTTAGTTGGAATCAGGATGAAGAGTAAAAGGATTTGAATGCTTAGGGGGGATTTTTTTTCTTTTGTATTACCAGAAAGTAAGGCATGAAATACATATCTTTAAAAGTAGTCATGTGTGCATCATTTTAAAAAACATTAGTGTTCATACAGATTTTAACTTTTCTTTTTTTTTTATATGTACATTGTAGTGATTATTTCTGTATTATATGCTGTTAAGCATTTAAAATACAGTTAGAATGATTATGATGCAACTTAAACTACAAATTTGTATTTCTTTTAAATGCTCTACCGAAATGAAAAGTTTTGAATTTTTATGAATGTAAAAATGCTTATATTTAAGAATATGGTGCTTGTTTTTTCACTTTTACAATACAATTGTAATCTGCGATATCTTTAGTTATCTTAGTTCCAAATTGGAAATCACATTTCTCTTTATTTACTGTAAAATGTGCTTCATGGGATTAACAATTGTGCATTTCTTCCGTATTTTTTAAACAAAGCTGAATATCATTTGTATGTGTATGTCATTCAACAGCTCTGACTTTACCACAATAGTTGCCATAAACACTAAAATAATACACTGACTTAATCATTAGTGTGTCAGATGTCTAATGTCTTAACATTAAACAAATCATAACTCATTTAAAATAAATAACATAACTTGTATGCATTTTATAGAGGGGAAAAAACAACCATGCTTTATGTTGAAATATTTTTTTTCCAGTGGTCTGGAGTTAAGGATAGTAGCACTGTAGCACCTCTTGTTTTGTACTTACTTCCAAGCACTCAAGAAGTCACTGAAATAGAGAATAAAACCTTTTGATTTAGGCATTTTGTCTTACAGTGCCAAACCAGAGATGATGTTAGGTTTGATTTCCACAGGGAGTGAGTAGCCTGCAGCATTCCTGGCGCTCAACT